GGGGTGTACCGCCCAAGGGAGAGTGTGGCCGAAAATGAAAATCAGCATAGAGGGTCAAACCTAGACAATTAAGGCTACGGCTCCGGGGGGGGGAGGGTCCCCTCCATCTCAAAAGATAGTGGGAAGTTGCCAGAGCTCTGTGGTCAAGCTTCCCCTACCAAGAGAGGTGCGTATGCTGAGAAAATGGAGTGAACTCACCAATCTAGCCAGTGGTTGCATGCAGTAAACAGTAGTCTGGTAGCCAGGAAAGGAAGTCCCAAAACCAGGGAAAGAGGAGGAGTCCCACCTTTTGAGATAGGCAATAAGTGTTGTACTTATCTGGAGTCTAGTTGTCCTGAGAGGTAGATTTAGGTGGACTTTCTGCAGCCTACAAGAATTACTTTTAAGGTTTAAGAAGGAGATAAAACTTTAGATATGTTAGTATTACAATTGTACTGTGCATTGAGAAAAAGGCAGTAGACATACATATGTGTTAACGGCATAAGTATTTTTTCAGGTGAGCTCTGAAAAGGCAAAAGCCTTTTATGAAGTAAAGAGAAACTCACTTGATCTTAACTTTAGTATAAGCATAGACATTTTGGAGGCTTACAATCTTGAGCTTAGGACTATAATAGTGGCATAGTGGTATAGTGGAATGTTTTTGTATTAGAGTTAGATTAATAAATTAGAGTCCTACTGATAAAGGTCAAAACTCTGGACAGTCAATACAACAGTAGCATAACAACAGGAAGAAATATTAAGCCTTTTTATTTATTTAAGATACCTTAAATCACCTTAGACCTTGTAACCTTTATAATTTGCATTTATCAACTTTAATAATTTTTAGAACCCTCAAATATTTATAAATTGCATTACCAACCTTAAGACACATTTTTAGACTCTCATACGTGTATAACTTACATTTACTAACCTTAAGACACTTTTTTAATACTCTCAAATGTGTGTAACTTGTATTTTTACAACCTAAACTCCTTTTATCCTTTTATATATATAAGCTATATATATTTTATCTAGCAATATATCTTAAACTGATTAATGAGCTAACAGTGGATCTAATTGCTCTTTAGCTGCAAAGCTACCATTAGCTTAACATAGCCGTCAAGGTGATCAGAGACCTGAGAAGGATAAGTTATGAACTAGATAAATATACCAATCCATGTGCCAATCAAAATGACATAGATGACTAGTTAGTCCATCACCTAGGCAGTGTCCCTGGCTCCTGTGGTCTCATAACGTCATGGGCAGAGGTGGTCCAGCTAGGCACAGAAGATGAGACTGTTTCTGTGGAGAAAGAAACGAGAGAATGGCCTCACCTTGCCCTTAGCAACGTGAAACATTGACTCTCCAGATGTCCACAGTTTTGTCCACAGTTTAGGCTGGGCCCCAGCAGTGGGCCAGTTGAGGCAGTATTGCCCAGTGGTTAGCATACCACAATCCAGAGTCGAAGTCATCTGTGGTTGTGCCCAAATCTTCTCGGAGACCTTGGGGAGCTACTGCCAGGATTTTGGGACTTTCTGTCACAATAAGCTTACACATGTTAAAATGTCATATTCATCAGATCTCTGACAAGCTTGAGGGCCAGCATATCTGAGTTACTCTTTGTTTATCTTTATCATGTGCTCTAAACTGTGTCCTATAAAACAGAATGCTATCTAGGACCATATTTTAAGTAGATTTACAAAGGCAACTTTAGTTACCCGTCCTAGGCTTAACCTTAAAAAAACTAAACAAAGACACTAGGTATAGTTCAACACCTTAACCAACTGTAGTTGTTAGCACAACTTTAAATCTGCCCACCACTAGAGTCTCATAACCATCATACATCTGTGAAGGAACCACAAGTTCTGAAGTGTTTTTTGTTGGTTTGCTTTTGTTTTTGTTTTTTGAGACAAGGTTTTTCTGTGTAGCCTTGTCTATATGAACTCACTTTGTAGACCAGGCTGGTCTCAAACTCACAGAAGTCTGCCTGCTCTGCCTCCTAGAGTGCTAGGTGTGCACCACCGTGCCTGACTATGAGTTCTGAGTTTTAATACAAGATGCAACGGCTTCTCTTTGAAATGTTTAGGTCCCAAGCTGGGCAATAGGTACAGACAACACAGCAAAAGACTGTTGCTCTTGAGCATAAGCCCACCAAAACAGTGGCTGCCCATAGCTGGTAGTGGAAGATACTGAAGGTCTTCTCCATGAACCAAGAGTTTCCCTGTACCAGTGGGGAAAGAAGATCAAATAGAACAAGAGGTCCTAGAGCCAATAGCCTGAGAGGGGACCAGAAGAGTAGGGAAGCAAGGCAGAATGGGCTGTGGGAACATTGGGCGCCTGCCCTCCCTCCCCAGCCTGCAGCTGTTGGAGGCTGCACAACAAAGGCTCTGTTTACTGGTGGCCATGGTCCCAGTGGGAGGGTGCATTACTGCCAGGCAGGAGCAGCAGGCAGACAGTCTCTGCGGCCTTAAAGGACCCTGTGGTCAGCTTTTGTAGAAGGCCTCCCTTCACCCCGGAAGGAGAGGTGCCAATGTGCTTCCCCTGTAGACTAGGCCTCACTGATTCCCCCAGTGGGTCTTCCAGAGAAACAGTTTGTCTCTGCTCCTCTGGAGCATCAGAGAATACCAGGAGGCTGTAAAAAGCACCCTGCAATCAGTCGCAAGAGTGGGTGAACGGGTGAACTAAGGCTGCAGTGCATAGACCTTTCTCTGTCCTTGCTGGAGCTCCTATCTGCTCAGTCAATTCTCTCAAGCAGGCAGTCAATTCTCTTGGTGGACAGAGGAAAATCTAGGCCTGGGAAGCCTTGGAGCTGAGGATAGGAAATGGCACAGAACCCGGGTGACACTAGAGGCTAAGCGTAAAGAGGGTCTAGGATGTTCTAAAAGGACAGAATGGACCATGGGGAGACCCACAATGTGTGTGGAGTATTGAAGGGAATCTGAAAATATAAGGGGGCTGCACATGGTTCAGCTGTTAAGAGTTCTTGTTGAGAGATGGCTCAGCAGTTGATGACAGAAATTGGCTGCTCTTCCAGAGGACCTGGGTTTGATTCCCAGCACCCACATGGCAGCACACCTGTCTGTAACTCCAGTTCCAGGAGACCTGACACCCTCACAGAGACATACATGCAACCAAAACACCAGTGTACATTTAAAAAAAAAGAAAGAAATTGTTTAAAAAGATAAAAGAGGGCCTGGAAAGATGGCTCAGAGGTTAAGAGCATTGGGTGCTCTTCCAAAGGTCCTGAGTTCAATTCCCAGCAACCACATGATGGCTCACAACCATCTATAATGAGATCTGGTGCTCTCTTCTGGCATGCAAGCATTCATACAGGCAGAACACTGTTATATGTAATAAATAAATAAACTTTAAAAAAGATAAAAGAGTTCTTGTTGCTCTTGCAGAGGATTCAAGTTTGGTGGTTCACAACCATCCATCCCTCCGAGTGATCTGACACCGACCTCTAATTGCACCAGGCACAAATGGTGCAGTACGTAGCATGCACCAGCGGTCAAACAGACAAAACAAGGATAGAACCCATGGGCAATAAATGGATCCCTCTAGAGGCTCCCACAGGCTTCATCTCCCTGACTGGCATACCCACAGAGTCCAGCTAGGTAAACTGGGAGGTGGGAAGCACTGGCAAAGGTTTTGAGCCGAGAAATTTACGATGATGTGTCTTGTAGGCCACATGTGGGCAAGGTAGTTATAAATGAAACAATTCAAACTGGTGAACTTACTTAAAACACTGATGGTTGGGCTGGAGAGATGGCTCAGCGGTTAAGAGCATTGATTTTTCTTTCAGAGGACCTGCACTCAAATCCCAGCACCCACATGGCAACTCACAACTGTCTATAACTTCAGTTCCAGGGGATCTGACACACAAACAAGCAAGCAGAACACTAATGTACATTAAATAAACGATTCAAAAAAATTTTTAAAATGAGGGTTTTATTTCTTTGTTGCAACTCAATCACACAGTTCTGGATCGTGAGCTTTGCAAAAGAGAATATCATATTGCAACATCAAAAGGCTGGATGTTGTCAAGTGCCTGAAAGCTGTAATGGACAGACCAAAAGGTATCCCTGATTAATCCAAGATCAGTTCCTCTGTGAGTCTGATTGCTATAACCCAGTGCCTGAGTTTTGGGTTGTTTTCTTTGGTGGTGTGGGAGGGGTGGGATTAAGATTGTAAGCAGCCTTAAACTGTAGGAGGCCGTGAGAGTTCTCTGCCTCTTCTCTGGTGTCCAGTTACCTGTTGGCTGTAGGACAAACCTTTCAGTTTGAAAACCAAGCTGTTCCGCAGGAGATAAGGAGGAGGAAGGCAGAAGTCCCAACCGGGGCCCCATCCCCTACCAGGTCCTTTCTTAGGCACCCAGGAGTACAAAATGGTATCTAGGCCTTATATTCTTTCACCTAGATGGGCAAGTCCTAGCAGGCTTCCTGGTTAAGTCTGGGCATCAAGGTTGCGGAGGTTGGGGCCAATAGTCAGAGACCCACGTTTTGGATCCCGGGAGGATGAAGGGTGCCCCCTGGCGGCTAGGGAGACTATGCCTGACCGAGCTTGCGGGCAGGACTCAAACTCAGCTTCTTGGACAACTCAGTAAAAGTCATAGTCTCTACTGCAGCTCCCTCACAACCATCGCTGGTGGATGTCAGGCCCCTATCTCGACGTGAACTTGGGCTCTCTGCCCTGCCCACCCTTCCCGGGCTGCTCTTAGCAGCCAGAAGGCCTCATGTAAACCGGTTGTCACCAGCTACCACAGAAATAAACAAGCAGTGGCCCTGCGGAGACCCTAATCCCCGTGTCTCCCGCTAGGGGCAGCATGGCGCTGCTTGTCCATCTCCATTCAGCGTGGGAGAGATGATCAACACTCCTCAGTAATAGCCTCGTTTATTTGCAAAGAAGAGGATGCAGGAGACTAAGAAGTCCAGGTGGAGCCCCGTCCCTTCGCCCCAGAGAAGACTGGCAGGCAGTCTCCCCAGACACCAAGTGCCTTGAAGCTAGTGGAGCTGGGTCGATAGGCTACAGGTACTGACTTTTCATAACTGCTGGGAAGCTATGACCTGTGGGTTCTCATAGCAGTGAGCCACTTTGCTGGTCGTATGAGAGTTGCTGCAGGCCCTGCAGGGGCAACAACCAGTCATCAGGTGGTCCCAGGGCTCCAGAGAATGGAGCCAGAGTGGCAGCCAGGCCCAGGATCGAAGACAGCGAGGCAGCCAAGATGGCTGGTGTCTTTGCAGGACATTAACCAGAATGATAAGGAGCACTAGCCCCACCAGAGGACCCCCCACTGCAGCCAGCACTAAGACCCCTGCCAGGGAAAGTCCAAAAGCTGCCAGGGGCAGCAGCAGAAAAGTGAATAGCAGGTAGATAATGGCCACCCAGCGGTACTGGGCGGTCAGCTCTCCAAAGCGCTTGGCCAGTGGAATGGGCAGTCTCAGGACAGGCACCAGGTACCACAGCAGTATGCCAGCCAGGTTGAAGAAGAAGTGGATGAGAGCAACCTGGTAGGCAGGAAGGGCAAGAAGGGGTGAGGAGCTTGGATCCCAGTACATGGGTCACCTGGACTCTTTAGAAACCATGCCTTTCCATACTTTGCTCAAGTCTAAAGCTTGTCTGTTGTGTCCTGCGGAGTGGTTCACACAGAGCCCTTAGGACAGCAGAGTAGGATCATGTTCACCATACAACCCTTCCCATATTTTAGGAGATAGGGGCCTACGCCAGCACCCATGTGTGGTAACACATCCCTGCTGGTGTCAGAGACAATGGGAGGTGGGCAGGGAACACAACACATGGCCTTTTTGTGAATAAGCACAATGCAGAGGTCTGGAGGAGGATGGTGCAGGGTCAGGAGGGTCTGAGTATAAAGGTGATACAGAGGCAAAGATGCAGGTGGGAGGTAGGGAGAGGTAGGCTCATTTTTTCCCCCTAGGAGCAGCAGCCAGTGCAACCCAAGGTTTCAGAACCTGATTGTGTCATGGGCAGAGGGAAGCTAGAGTCAGGGCAGTGGACCAAAGACTAGGTAATTTAGAGAGTCAGAGCTTGAATAAGACTAAGAATGAGACACAGAGCTGGGATATTTGGTGTTAGGGAGAGACAACCTAGAGGTACAATCACGTCTCATCTCAGGTGGCATGACTAAGCTAGCATAGTTGAGCTGGGGCATCCCCAGGATGGAGTCTGAAAAGACAGGACATTTTTTAGTGAGCTTAATACATGGAAGAACAGGACTTTAGGAATAGTCACATTGGAAGTGTGGACCAGAGGACCACCCTTGAGCAACCAAGGAGTTCAGAATGGAGGGGCCCAGAGGAACAGTGGTCCTTCAGGGGAATCTGGGAATGCTGCCAATGATAGAGGGACAACGAGTATGAGATGACCACCGATCATTCTGGGAAAGTAGTCCTAGAAAGGAAGAACTGGGGCTAGGGCTATGAGGTGCCTGCAATGTCCCCCTGGGCCTGGGAAGTAGGGCTGAAGGCTTGTGGTAGGAGTCTGTGGAGCTCAAGCCAGCCTGAGCGGTGCTGGGAACAGGGAAATGGTTGAAGGAAGTACCTGGACTGCGGTAAGCAACATGTCTGCAGGACTGGCCAGGGCAGCTAGCAGGGCTGTGGTGGTGGTGCCAATGTTGGAGCCCAGGAAGAGGGGGTAGGCCCGTTCCAGATTGATCACCCCAACCCCTGGAAGAATGAAAGGTTACCAGGAGGTCCCACCCAGCTCCCCCAACCCCAAGCCTAGTGCCCACTTTTGCTTACCCATGAGAGGCACAATGGCTGCTGTGAAGACACTACTGCTCTGAAGCAAGAAGGTTAGGCCTGCACCAGCAAGGATGGCCAAGTAGCCACTGAGCCAGCCAAAGGGGAAGGAAAAATCTGCAAGTGTGTGTGGCAGGGGTGCTGAGTCATTCTTAAATCCCTGCCTTGTCCTGCATCCCAGGTCTAGGACCTCCTCATACCTACCTGCATTGATGACAGTTCTCACAGCCTGTGCAATGCGGCCCTGCAGCACAGAGTTGAGCAGCTTAACAAGGAGGACCAGGCAGACACACAGCACCAGCAGAGAGCCAGCCAGCAGGATGAAGCCCACAGCCAGGTCTGTGAGTTCTGAGCCCACAAACAGGTGATGGCCTGTTGAAGGGCAGGTTGGTGAGCAAGAGAATGTCAGAGCACCTAGAAGGTTAGGGGTGGAACTGGTGGAGATACTCACAGGGCACTTTGTTCTCCTCTGCAGATGCTGAGATGTTCCTCTCTGTGCAGGGGTTGAACATGCCATAGTCCTCACTGCTTCCCTGGGGCTGAGGGATAGGGAGAATTCAGGCCAGGCTCACAGGAGGCAGGCAGAGCTCAGAAAGCTCAAGATCAAGTGGGTGGGATGATTCAGAGGTCAGAGGCCAAATGAGGGATAGAGTGAGAGGCACCTCACCATCTTCCCCCTGATGCCACACCATTGCTTAATCAGGCTGCTGTTAGTGCTGTTGCGGGTAGCACTGCTGGTAATCATGCTGCTATCCAGCTGGTAGACAGAGGAGGCATGATTATGTGTCTTGCACTCCTAACCCCCAGCCAGTTACCAGCCTAAACCCTCTTCTGTCCCCATCCAGGATAGAACTTTTGCCACCTGCTCCTCATCAGCCAAGGGCTGGCACCTTCCTACGGCACATCTGTCCTCACCTGGATGATGAAGTGTGTGAAAGGTTGCGTCAGTGCCTTGAGGATGTAGAGGGCCTGTCCCCCTGGCTGCAGGCTAGCAGCACCCAGGGCCAGCTCACTCAGCCTCTCTAATGCTGCTGTAGCACTCTCCAGTGGCAGCAATACCAACACTGTGAGCCAGTTGAAGATGCCATGAACAGCCGAGCCGCTGAAGGCCCTGCGGTTACACAGGGCAGGTTGTCTGTCTGAGCAGCCTCCACTGAGGCTAAGACAGACCCAGCCTGCCCATCAGCCCTGACTCACCTCTGAAACTCATCCCGGTCCCCTGACTGCGCCATTGAGACCAGGGTACTGGTGATTGATGTGCCCACATTGACGCCCATGATGATAGGCACAGATACCTGGACAGTCAGCACTGTAGGGATGCCATTTCAGCACTTCCTGTTCACCAACCCACCCACCACTGCCCTGGGGATGAGAAGCATACTCACACTTAGAGGCCACCATGCTGACCACGATAGACGAAGATGTGCTGGAACTCTGTACAAGGACTGTGACCAGCACACCAACGACCAAGCCAGCCACAGGGTTGGACAGCACCACATTGTCCTTGAAAATTTCTCCAGCCATTTTGCCTATTCCCCACAGAGAGATGCAACAACGTTGTAAAATGCTAACTTCCCAACCCCATCCTGGCCTCCCACCTGTCACTCACTGCCTAGAAGCTGGAAGGCAGAGCTGAGGATATCCAGAGAACAGATGAAAAAGTAGAGACTTCCCAGGAGTCCACATGCCTTGAGGAAGCTGATAACCACTTGGCAGAGCCTGCTGGCCTTGCTGACCTCTAGGGACACAGGATAGGATTATATTTAAACTAGCTGGCTATTGCCCAGCAGCAGCACCCTGCCCCCACTTTGCTTCCTGAGAACAGGGACCATGTTTCCCATCACCTCTCAGGCAGAGCACAGGATCCCCCTTCTGTCCCATTGGGCAGAAACCCATGTCTTCCTTTGTGTTCTTTTCCTAGGGCGAGTCTGTGTCCCCTCCTCTATCCTCCCTTTCTCCTTTGCTATGTGGCTAAGCCCATGACCTTGAAGGGGGAGTCTCAGAATTGGAGCCAACAGCAGGGAGTAAGAGGACAAGAGGCTGGAAGAAGGGTTGTCTCAAGCAGATCAATGTGGGTTTCTATGAGGTATGTTATGTTAAATCTAGACTATACTCTGCAGGAAAATGGGAAGCCAGGGGCCTGCATGCATGCTGTCTCATCACTCTGAGTCCTACCTTTCAGTTGGCCAATGTTCTTCAGCTGAGAGAAGGCCCAGGGTTCTGCACCTCCCTCCTCCAAGCCTGGGACAGAACTGGAGGTTCCTGCAGGGGTCAAGTAAAGTAGGGCTGTTTGTAGAACCCCCAAGGAGGAGGAGAAAAGGAAGCAAGAGGTGAAAGGGGGTAGGACACAAGAGGCCATAGGTGAGGTACAGAAGCAGAGAGGGGAGAGGGTTCCAGTGAGTCTGGTTCAGGCCAGCGGTGTGAGGAAACCCCTTGGCCCTTTTAAGAGGAAAGCTAGAGAAACCTCACTGTGTCCAGTGCAGCTGTCAAGAGGTAGGAGCCCTGAGGCACCAGATACCTGCATTTCTCAGACTCCAGTCCACCAGGTCAATCGCATCCAGAGTAGGGTTGGGGACGTGGCCAGCAGCGAGGGAATTCGGCATGGATTTTGAGTACAGAAAGACCAAGGCCCAATCCTAGATCTGCTGAGGGCAGGGCAGGTAAGAATTGGTCTTTCCTTCTACTCTACCCTCTATCCTACCAAACAGGCTAAAGTTAGGCCCCTGACCTGAAACTTCAGCTGCAGCCCCCACTGTGCATGTCTTGGTGGCTTTCTCTTTCCTCTGACCTCTACAGTGACCTCAGGTGGTTATCAGGCAAGCCCAGTCTACTTTCAGGAGGCAGAAGAAGGGGCCACCAGCTCCTCTGCTCCCTCACCGGTCTTAGCTGGAAGAAAGTTTGACAGCTGACTGAGGGTACAGGGTTCTGGGACCTTGGCAGGAAGTAGTCACTAGCCTGAGAACCCTGGGATTTCTCCTATAAAGTGTCAGTAAGGACACTGCAGATGGTCCCAGCTTAGACTTTGGTATTTGATACCAATGACGTCTTTGCTTGATAAGAGCCCCACACCCCACACACTTAGGAGCAGGGCTTGGGAGCCCGCTGTCCATGTCTGGACCCTCTGGGCAGCAGACCCATGGGTGTCTGGGTCTGGAACTCTTAGAATCCTACTCTACCTTGGCCCTCTCCCTAGTGGGTGGGCTCAGACCCAGGGGTCCTTTGTGTGCCCTCCCTCTGGCCTGCCCCTAGGCTCTTTTCACTTTCGCTAAAGTTCAGAATGTTGCCCCAACCGTGGACCTGTTGGTCACTTAGTTCTGGTCTCATTGTCCTAGAGCCTGGTCTAGTTCTAGGAGCTCCTACCTGCCTGTGTGGTGAGGGGCACCAGCGGGAGGAGGCACAGCAGGAACAGCTGCAGGTCAAAGATCTGCCTGGTGCGCACATGACTTGCTGTGTGTGGAGCCCCATTAATGTTTACCCAGGAGCTGGGGCCCCCAAGGGGAGACCCTGCCTGGCCCTAAGGCCTTATTCAGATTCTTGTCATCCTAGGACTAGATGTTCTGAGCCCCCAGCTCAACTCTCTTGGGGTAGAACTTCTTCCAGAGATGGGCAACATCTAGCCAGGAGCATGATAGAGCTAGACACTGCAGCCACCAGTAGGTATTTGATACATTTAATGGACACTCTCCACCACCCAGGCAAGATGCTGTCATTCTGGCCAGGGCTGCCTAAGGACCCAATGAGAAAGTTGCCCTCCTCCTTCTGTGTTCCTCCGACCCCTGCAAACCTTATCATAGTCATCACTGCACCTGACAGAGGCAAGAGGGAAGCCCTTTATATCAGGTGGGTATGGAAGACGGATTTCCTCAGGTGGCCTAGGAAGGCACCAAGGCTCTGAGGTCAGCAGATTAAAATCTGAGTTAAGGGTGGGGCCAGATCCAGAAGGGCTTTCTGTGGAAGCCAGCAGGGGGTCCAGGCATGGAGTCTCTATCTGCAAAGAAGATAGAAGGCAGAGGGCAGAGCTCATTGCCTGGCCTGTCTGAGTATCTTTTCCCAGCAGAGTGCCATCCTGTCCCCACATGCATTTGAAATGTCCCTTTTTCTCGACCAGGCCCTTTCCAGCCCCTAGGATGACTGGGCCCTCTCCTGCAGGCCGTTTCCCCAGGGGCCCTGCTAGTTCCAGCACCCCTTTCTGCACACTGTCCAGCCTTGTCCCTGGCTGCTTTGAGGGACTTTGCCCAGGAAAGGAGGCTTCTCAGAGTCTATTCAGCAAATTCTCTTTCCTCCCATCCTACATCCACTGCCCAGGAGGTCCTTCACAGGGGCTCCTGGATACAGCTCTTTCTAAAGGGATGAAAGCTTACAGCTTTGGCCTGGGGGTTGTCAGTAACGTGTACCGGTCTGTGTTATGGTCACAAGTGACAGAATGGAGCTGGGAGTCTTGAGATAGGATAAGAAGCTGTGAGACGTTAGGCAAGACCCCTTGTCAGAGCTAGCCATCTATGGCATCCTTCTTGAGTGCCTGTCAAAGACATAGCTTTGTGCTGCAGCAGAGCCTCCTCTAACAGTGCATGACTCATAGTAGGAGCTCAGTGACCATTGTCAAATAGATGGTAACACGTGAGATTCCAGGGATAGAGGAGGTAACTTTCCCTCCCTCCTAGCTCATACCTCTGGATGTTTACAGAAAGGAAGACCTGCTCTGATACCAGCTACTCACATACAACCATAGCCTGGCCCTGTCTAGGTCCCTGCACTCACCCCCACAGACTCTTGATCCATTCTCTGAGCTGAGTCCTTGGTTTATAGGTAACATAGACAACCAGTCAGATGTTGGCTAGCCAAACAAAATCAAACTAGCTTGGGGTAGGGAAATCTAGGCCAGTATACTGGGAGGTCACCAGCCTACTGTGGAGTCTTATGGTAGGTACCATGGCCATTGACTCTGACCTTAAGCTATGGCCTAAAATGTCTCTGGTCAAGGGTGAAATCACTATGTTGGGTCATGTAAGACTATAAGAAGAATGACCTGCCAGCAGGGTGATCTGTTTGCACTGTGTATGATCAGTGGCTCCAAGGCAGGCAAGCTACTAAATACAGTTTCCTTTGTGGTGGTGAAGATAGCCAGAACTTAGACTTCAGGGTTCCCAGGGGGATACCATCACAGTCCTCCCCAGCCCTAGCAGCAGCACCCAGGATGAGGAAAGTGGGGTTGAGGCCCAAGGTGGGGTAGAGTCCCGCTGGCTTCAGAGTGATGGCAGTGCTGACTTTGAGGGGACAGAGGACCTTTTGAGGGGGACAGAGGACCTGACTTCTATTCTTGATGCTTCCCTTTCAGCTTTAATTGCCAGAAAGGCAGCCAGGTCCAAGTCCAACATGGTCACCCCTCCCCGGGGCATAGAGGTACTTTGACGGCACTGTGGGCAGGGGATCCAGTGTTGTTCATAGGCTGGAGTATCCAGGCACCACACACACGCCTGGCAGAAGGTGTGACCAAAATAGAGGCGGCAGCGAGGCAAGTGTGCTGAGGGGTCGTAGGCAGAGTAGCAGATGATGCAGTCATTCCGAGAGGCTCTCAGGGCCGCCCCCTCCTCCAAGCCTTGGGCACCTTCAGGCTGCAACATCCTAGGGAAAGTGTGTGGGAGCCAACAGGGCAACAGCACAAGCTACAGTCCACCTCTGCTCACCTATGTGACAGTCTGGCCCATGCTCACCTTCCCAGAAGACAGAAACCAGGGCCATGGACAGTAAATGCCTGAACATCTGGAGGGAAGATGGTAGCCTTGGGCTATCACAAAGTCTGGACCTATCTCTTGTTTCTGTGGCCATTGGCTGAAACAGCACCCTATCCCACTGCTGAGACCTCCTGCTTGCCCCCATGCCTAGCCTTCTTGAACCCCAGGGTTCTTACCTGCATCCATTCCACTGGAAAGCAATTCCCAGCCAGAGGATTATAGGAGGGGGTGGGGACCGTGAATACCTCATGGCTCCCTCCTTGGGCTTGAATCACTGGCCACACAGGCAAGATGACAGGAGGCAGGTGCTGGCTGCATCAAGTAGAGTGGGCTCCCCTTTCAGCCACAAAGGCCTGCAACTGGATCTGAAGCACCACCCACTGGACCAGAGATAAGGTGAGCCAGCCCCCTGCATAAAGGATGTTGCCCAGACTACTCTCTAAACTCTAAAGCTTAGAGATTTGGCTTTGTCATTCTCCATCCTGGATGTCCTCAGTGTTTGAGTCCTCCCAGGCACAAGTCCTCACTCTTCTCACCCAATCCCCCACTGTAATATCTTCCGCTTTGGCATGAAGATGCCCCTCTTCAGTCTTGGGCTCATATCACTTCCAGGGAGCCTGCCCCCATCCCCAGCAGCTCCAGAGTAGGGTGCATGCATACTCTTGATAATTTGTGCCACTTCTTGGCATCTATCCTGTTATGTCACAGGCAGTAGCCAGCCCATTGGCCCTAAGATGGCACTCAAACACAATGTGTGATGATCTGCCTCACACAACCATCACCCTCAAAGCACTCCCCAGCCCATTGAAAGCACCTCTCAGTTGACTGTCCATCTGACCTTTAGCCTTTGCAATAGTCCAGGGAGACAGTTCAGGAAAGTGGGGGTCAGTGTTCTCTGTAACAAGGACTGGAGAGATCGCAGAACTAGGGAGACCCATTTTTGTTGGCAGGGCCCCTAGGACTGCACACAGGGTTGCTAGGAGAAAGCCGAGAGCAGACCAGCCCTCCTTACTCACTTTTATCTACTCTTTTACCCCTTGGCAGACTGGCTGCCTTTAAGACTGGTCAAACAGGTTCCTGTGCTGGCCTTCACTGGAACCGGGGACAAAGAGCTTGGAAAGGAGAGTCAGGGCAGTGACCTATCTGCCCATACCTGGAGCCCTTGACACATCTAGCCTGCCCTCTTGTGTGACCTGTCTCTGCATCAAGGGAGGACCAGCTTCTGGAGGACTCGTTTGTCTTGTGGGGCCAGCTCTTCTTCCTCCTTCATGTGGCCCTGTGGCTCTGCCCTACCCCGGAAACACCAGTCTTCCAGAGCCGGCCTCCTTGCACACTCCCTCCC